AAAAACTGAGTTACCGTTTTCGGCGCTTTTTGCCCCGTATCTTCAAAACGGCTAGACCTGACTTCGCCAAAAACTAATCAGCACGTCTCCTTATCAATACAAATCGAATGTTTTTTGAATTATTCAAATCGGTTGATCGGTGTTCCCGAAATCGTCGACGAAAATTTGTATCCGCACATACATACACACCGCACACACACACACAAACACACACACACACATACATCCATTTTTTCTAAGGTATGCCAAAATATTCAGAAACCTTTGAAACGTCGAGAAATGCAAAAATTTTCATTTTCGATTTTTTTTGCGATTACTATAACTTGCCCTACGGAAAGTTAATTAATGATCACAAATCATTAGCTTTTAAAAGAGATTAGTTTTAAATAGAATGCACAAATTCGAAAAAAATAATTAACACAAAGATGATTAAAATTTGTAAGTTAAACTTCGAGCTATTTATTGTCATAAAACTCACCGAGATATGATTTGGATTGATATCCATAACACAGCAAAAATTAGCAAAAAAAATTGGTATAATGGAATTTTTATAAAGTTATTGTATTTGAAATTTCTTATATATAATTATACTTTGTACAAATTATATAATTAACTCCCTCTGAAATCATGAATCCTTTATACTTATGCGATTGGGTGTTGGCGGTATAGGAAATGTTTCCTAATAAAAATCGTACTGAAATCGTTTAGAATTCCTAAAAAGCCGAAGTCAATTGCATACAACCTTGCATACAACAAAAAAACATGCAATTTCGATTTAACCGCCCGTACGCTCTTTTATATAATCGAATAAAAGAATACACGACCAAAAAGTAACTGAAAAAATACATTTGCACAAACGATAAAATGGAAAAGAATGAAAAAGCTTAAATGCGGGATATATATATGTATATACGTACAATACGAAACTGCTACCGATATGCAAGAAACAATTCAAAAATTTGAAATAATTTAAATGTTATTTACTTTATCACAATGAAGTTTCATAAAAAAATATCAAATCATGTCTTTAAATGCCATGCTTATTTAAGAATATGTAATTCAATAACAATTATTTGAGCCTAGATTATTGATTGATAAGTCAAACTTGTTCAGATAATGTGCCGTTTATAACTTTTTAGGAATTTTTAATGAGAAGATCAAATTAGTATTCGAAGTATCAGAAAACTTAAAATTGCATTATATTTGAATATGTTATGGAACATGTATCGTAAAATACTTTCAAGTATAAACAACATATAAAATGTGTTAAAATGCAATCCACACTCCCTCTAATGATTAGAGTATAATCACATTTATATTATAAATATAGAGCAATTATAATTTCATACCTTCATACATATATAAACATACTAAGCAACATATAATATATTAATATTCAAAACTTACTGTAAGTTTTTATGATCCGAGTTCACTACACGGGAACTTCTGCAAAGAAATAAAACATTTATTATCACAAATTAACAAATTTTTATATTGCAACTAATATTATTGCAAAAGATATTTTCAACGTGATATTACAAAGATAAATTTTATATTAATAACTAATAATAAGTGCATTTGCTTCGAGTTCAAAAATCTATCTCTAATATGTGCTAGATGACAAGAACTTCAGTGTTCTTTCAAAATGTTTCCAATATAATGAGAAAGTGCAGCAATAACAAAAATATTGTAAATAAATCTACTAAAAACTTTACAAAAAAAATTTGAACGAAATATGTAGAAATTAATCATTTTATCTGTAGTATCTAAAATGCTTATGATTATTACTGATACAAAAAAATTTAGATTTTGAAAATTAATAATTATTTTATAGAATCATGAATCAATTCATCATCTCTGTTGGAGAATGTTGGTAAAACGCCATGGAGTTATTAAGGTAATAAACATAGGTAATTATTATATATCAATTGAACACATGAGAAAATTTTATTTCCAAGTTTGGTCTGATTCACTTGTATGATTACTTACATTAATCGGTTACATTCATATATTATTATATTATATTATAATATCAAGAGATATTTTATTCCGCAAACTGAGCACTCTGTGCCCTCATTGACTATGACATATTTCGTTTTTGCAAACCAAATAAAAGCTGAATTGATCAAATCAAGACAAGTACATATATGTAATCTAAAAATAAATCATTTTTGAAATTATCTACAACTAATAGTACAATAAAAATAATAATACAATGTCTCATATTTTTTGCATATGCAAAGAATGACTAAACTAAAGAATGAATAAAAAAATTAGTTTTTTAAACAAATATTGTATTAAAAATATTCTACAAATAACGCAACAAAAAATAACGTTGCTTTTACATTCTCTTAAGGAATTGGATAATTAATCGTAGAGCATGAATTTATATACAACCATCATAAATATAGTTTTTTATTATAATATTTTCTTTGGGCAGTAGCTAATTACATTTGATAGTAACAATACACTAAACATCATTCCTCTATTTTTTCGTTATATCGAATAATACGAAAAAGTTAAATTATAATAAAACTCATGCCATATTGCACCATATTATAGAAGTAAGAGCATAGACGAGTCTTTTGTGAACATTTCAAATTTCATAATGGGACGACATGAGGTGCCAGTGATTCTATTCCGAAATCAAGGGTAACAATTGGATCTAAAACTGTCATGCGATTCTAACAAAGGCCTAGAATGCCCTCGGATATGCTCTATGCTCTCTGAGTAGGGGTGCATAAACATATATTTTTTATTAAGCTTTTTTATATCAAAATAACTGCAACGTTAAATATGGGCGAAGGGAACTAAATCGATATTTGGCTTTATCGATAGAAACTGACAACACAAAAATACAGATGTATGTATATGCTATGTTCATGTAATTAGAATTAAAATTAAAACATATACGACACAAAAATTTGATAACTATATCTTTGTAACAAGCAAATGATTAAAGGAGATTGTATGTGATTTTTACATATAAAAGTTTTTTCAGTATTTTTTGTCATAATCAATAAAACCTAAGTGTAGTTTTTACACTTCGATCCTGAAATGTGACTTCATTGAAATTGAAATAAAACAACACCTAATAAGGATACAAAGACTGTTCAAGAGAATGACGAAATGAAATATATTTGATGACAAGATAAAATAATGTTTATCCTTGTATATTTTATAGATATAATAAATTGTTTAAATTTATTCTTTATTCTTCATCATAGTTTTATGATCCGATATGCAATGACAAATATTTACCATATTTTCACCATCAATCGTCAGTAAGTGAACGACTGTTACATGTAAACAATATCGACTCTTCACTCGATACTTGTCAACTGGCAACTTTTCACAGTTTACAAGCACTCCAATATATTTCACTTGCATGTCACACCTTCAGAGTAAACGATAAGCCATAAACAAAACTTTAATTTACGAAAATATGAGTCCAGCAATGTAAACTACGAAAGAAAGTACATGGGAATTTAGAGCATAAAGCACTTGTAAAAATAATCTCACTGGAAACAACATTTTTCCAAAGTATACACTAAGCAAAAAAAGTTCATTAAACAATGAAGAATATAAATATACAAAAATGTACTTTTAGAACTTGTTGAGTTTTGAAATTTGATATGTCATTAAAATAGTGCATTTGAGATTAAAATAGATAAAGGGTGAAAGAAAATATTGTTAAATAAGAAAAATCGAAATATATAAATTTAGATCAGATAAGATCATCAAGCAAATTAATATAGATTGATGATCTTTTCAAAGATAGGTAAATATTACTGTGTCTGAGTTTTGCTTTAACCAATGGGCTCTCTCTGTGCATAAAATTTTTAACCACCCAAATCAGTTCAGCCGTTCTCACTAAACCGTGACAAAGTGATATGTGAGTACTACATTTGCACACCAACTATTTACCATACAAATATATATTTTTTCGAGTTTCTACAATATTTCAATAATTTGCCTAAAAATGGTTTAACAAACGAGCTTAATATAAAAAATATAATAAAAGGAAATTTTAAACATAATAAAAAAAAGAAAATTGTTTCAATAGAGAAAATTGAAAAAGCCTTGATAAATTTGTTCATTTAATTACAGTTTTGTGTCGAATATAGAATAGAATCCTCATTTAGACAGAAAACTTACTTGGAAAATTCACATAAAATGAAAAAGCAGGAAATAATGTTCAAAATGAAATAATTCAATTGGCTAATGAGTAAAAAGTCTAAGCTCTCCTTGAAAATAAATTGCTGCTATAAAAAAACAATCTTCAAACCAATCTGACCTACGGAATTGAGCTCTAGGGCTGTGCTTACAAATCGAATATAGCTATAATGCAGATTGCAGAGGACACAGTCAAAAATTCTACAAACAATACTTAATTCTCCGTGGTATGTGACAAATGAAACCATTCACAGCGATCTTAACATAAAAACGGTGCAATTAACGTTCAAAAACTGGACTCATCAATAGTTGACATTACTCATCCTTTTGGCATAAGGAGATTGAAATGACACTGGCCTTTAGACTTAGTCTTAGATTAGCTCTAATAAAATATTATCATATTAATTGTTAAACTAAGAAGATCTTATTGGAGTTCTTCTTAGACATCGCTCTTAAATATTGTCAATTTAGCTCATAGGAATCTTTATGTATTTCTGATTGCTAAATAAAACAAAGTTAAAAAAAAAATTTAGAATATAATCTAATATAATAATGTAGCAAAAAGTTAGTTAAATCAATATTAAAATAGAATGAGAAATATCAAAATAGTTATTAAGACAAAAATTGTGTATCACTTTTATAACTTTATTAAAATAATCATCATTTGCTATACACAGATACGACTGCCTTCAAATCAACAATCGTTTGACTAATAACTTTTACGATAAAAAAATATTTTTCAATATAAAACATCAAAAAAGATGTGAATATAGCATATTTATTGAAACGTGTAAGTAGAAATATTCATGCTAGAACTTCTGCTGTTATAGCAATAATTTTAATTATAAGATTTATAGATAGATTTATGTTATATATATATATATATATATATATATATTATACCTTAGACTTTACTCAGGCCAAAAGCTTGTTAATAGAATTAAAAACATAATCTATCTTAACTACGTATGCCCACCCTTTGAAATAACATGACGCACCCATCCGCTTTTGGCCCCAAAGAACATATGAGAGGGTAAAATTGGGGGAATTCATACGTTATGTGATCGAAAACAAGCAATCGCATTGAGTGCTAGATGTTTACTAAAGCTTTTTTCATTTTCCATACAATGCGGTAGATGGCCTTTGATATGATCGACTGATCTTTTATTAAAAAAGGAACGATGATTATTTCCTGTATTGATATTAATTATTAGGTTATTTTGTCAAAAAGCACAATGCCATACAATTTTTTCACTCGATTACAATATTTGTAGTTCCACTAACTTCGTTTGTTTTACCGCAAACACATATTATACACATGTAATCGATCAGTTAGTAAACTGAAACTACCTTTGAGCACGCAATGTGCATTAATGTAACCTATATAATAAATGGTCATTTATCCGAAATTTAAATACAGGTATTATTAATGTACTTTCACTACTCTAAGTAATTAGAAACATAAATAAAATGAATATTAATTACCTCGATGTGGTAAATAAATATATTTTTATAACACTGCGACATGCATATGACATGCAATAAAACCCCTAATGAGGTAGGTCATATGAAACAAGGCCACAAAATATATAATCGTTGATAGTAGAAAAATATAAAATACAAAATAAAAATTTGCTGTTTTGGACAATAACTTCAAGTAGATGAAAATTTATATATCATTATAAATATATACATTTATATATTATATTACAACAAATTAAATTAAACTTGTTATTAGTAAGTTGGTGAAGACGAAAGATATTGAAATAACTCAAAATATATTGTATTAAACGATAATCATGTAATCTTTCCTCTTAAATGCTGTTTTTATTTTTTTACTTCTGACATTTATTTTTGCGAATAGTCAAATTTCAACGCCCAAAAAATCGAAAGAATATATATACATGTATCTTATTTTTAAATTACTGAATGTGTGGACAAATAAATGTTTGAAATTTTATTTCAGTATTTTAAGTTTCATCTGTTCTCTAGATTTAGCTTCTTAACAGCAAATATAATTAATTATACTCGATGTAACAAGGTTTTCAAATTATTATATATATAATACATAGATTGCTAACTTTGAAGTAGGTATTAATAAAAATTAAACCTATTATCCACATAAACGAAAGCGTTTAATTTATTATTTGTATAAATGTCATACAAACTTTATATTTAATAAGTTTATAATATCGTAAGTAAACACATTTGTTGTGCATTTATCTACTTTGCAGCTCGTTCTGTTCAAGAACAAGTTTAAAGGATATACA